TGTCAACGTAGTAGCAGGTGTTTCCATGACGGGTTCCTGTCTCTCATTCCTCTGCAAAAAGGCTTGTTAGCTTGTAGTACAGCACTGTACAGCATAACCAGTACTCTGGGTTTGCCAGACTTGATTCACTCATCAGCGATGTCTGGTCCATGCAGTGTGGAGTGCAGGAATGACCACCTTGCTGTCTTGAAGCTTGGAACAATGTCTTTTGGAGGCTTTGTGCTTTTCTGTGCTATTTTTGGCTGAAACAGTGACTTCAGAGGACTACTGCTCCATATATAAAAGTTGTAAACAGAAGGAAAAAAGACTATGAAAAAGGAAAAAAAAGGAGGTTGTATATATCCGAATTGCTCTTGTGGGAAATCTCATAGGAATCAGTGAGGATGTCTGAATAGTAAAAGTGATATTACTCTCAGAAATTGCACGTTTAGATACCCACAGAGGAGGAATGTGGTATTTCATTGCTGGTCAGCTTTGCTGGAGCCTTTAGGAATGTGTTATTTTAAACGTTTTCCCCCCCTTAACCTAGAAGGCTATGAATTTGCATCAACATATCTGTCTTTGCATGTATGTATGTATTTACTACAATAGACTATACATTTCCTGTAGAAACATCGCTCGCTTCGCCAGTAGTGAGGCTTAGAGGAGGGACAACTAGTTGTGCTTACCTCTGCTCACATGTGCAACAGTAGTTCCAACAGTGGTGTTTTTGTCAGTGGAAGAGTTATGAGTAGGCAACATGGTGTTTGCACAGTATTACCATGTTAAGAAAATAATTTGTTTACTATATGACACAGTTATTTCACTGAGAAGACTAACTTAACCCAGTAAATTTTTCCAGAGAGTCATCTCCATTTGAGTCACTCCTGCGTGAAGTCTTATGGAAGCTTTGGTCTGTCGTTACAGAGTGTTAGTCTCCGAGATATAATGAGCTTCAGGTTACCAAAGAAGTCATCATTTTAACTGAGAAAGGATAATCAAATGATTTAAACTCTGTTTACATGAAAGTTGCTAAAACAAGTGAATTTGAGACTTCAAAATAGGGTTGAAAAATTCTTATTAGGAGTTCCTGTTGGTTTGGTTTCAGGTTTTTTTTCAGTGACAAACCGCAAAGTATACTAACGCACACAGTTAAACATAGTATAATGTGAAATAGTTGAGCAAATCCACCAGATTTATAACTTCATCAGCTTACATGCATGATTTGGAAATGCATTAATGTTGTTTTGACTGTAGTTGCAGTCTTTAGTCATGTTAGTAAAACTTCTTTCGAAAGTTGGATAGTGCTCGTGGTTAGATTGCGAGTGAATGGAACTGTAAATTTGAACCCACAACTTCATATTGTAAATTATAAATTAGGCTTCAGTTACTGCAATTCTGCATACATTTCTTTTCACTCTAACCCTAGTATTATGTACAGTGTTTTCCCAGTTTGAGACTATAGAGACATACAGGTCCACTAAATCTGCGAGACAGTTCACACTTAGTATTTGATTCCAATTCTATTGGAATAATTAGGGTAATTCTTTTTCTTAGCCTTTGCTAAGTACGTGATACATTGCTTAGTTATTTTTCTTGTTCAAAAATAGATGTCACTACATCAAAAACTGCAGTAACAAATTTTTCTTTTCAAAATGGAGGATTATTTTCCTTAGTTTTCTGTCCCCGCAGGCTGCTGGCATGTGACGTGTTGAAAGATTTTTACATACACTGCCAGCAGCAGTCTGTAAGTTTGCTGCCTTATAGGTTGATTTAAATATGACAAAAAGAAATTACTTTGTCTGTGGGGATGTAGAGAAGTGTGATGTGTTAGGAGAATTGCAAGGCTGCTTTCCTTGTGGTTGATCCTGGATTGCATCAGTGGGCTGCAGCTGTTCAGCTGTTCTTAACTCTTATGAAGTTTTCTCTATTTTTTTTCTTTTTTTTTTTTTTTCCTGTAGCAGACTTGATGTTATGGGAACTCTTCAATAAAATTGTTCTCTTAGGGGAAAATAGCATTATACATCATGCTAAAAAATAGCTATTGTCTTTTGGATGCCAGTTTAGGAACTGCTTAATTGTGAAGTAGTAACATCTGGTTTTATTACTGGGTGCATAGGAGATGCATAAGTTCACTCTGATTTTTGTGTCTCATATGTTTGCTTCACATGCTAAGTTCCTTGCTTCTGACTTCATGTAGGGTATAAATGTTATATTCAAAGGTGTTAACAGGTTCTTTTCAAGAAAAAAAGAACTTGTTGAGTTTTCACTGGAGCATATGCTTATTTAGTTTTATTCTTTACAGCGAAGCTTCATAGTGATTAAATTTTCTTAAAGAAAAATGATAGCCATGTTGTGATCTATGGGTAAAAATGCGTCTTTCAGGTTTTGCATATTCTTTATACGTGACTTTATCTTGAATATATATTAGATAATTCTCTTGTGGACAAAAGCATTTGAGCATCAAAGTCAACGAAGGAACAGACCCTCCTGTAAGCAGCTGTCGAGGACTCTGCATTGTGTGAGCCTCTTAAAGATAACATCCTAACCAGGACACTTTTCTTAATAACTGGAGAGCTTGACAGTCTCAATAAAAACACTTTTTTCTTATGCTCTCAAGAACTTCTTCCCATTGCCGTGTAATTGTTGTAGTATTACAGCTCTTTCATTTTCTTCTAAACTTGCAACTTCTTTACCGTTTGCTATACAAAGATTTTCTTGTCTTTCTATTGTGCCAATTATATGAACATTCAGTGCCCAAGTTACCCCACTTGAAACAGTTCAGTTAAACAAAATTCTATCAGTCAAGAGACACTGCCCATTAGGAGTACATAACTGAAGATGAAGATGTAATTTTGATGATTGAAGATACCAAGATTTTAGGACGTGTACACGATTTTTCTGCAGTCTGGTCCCTGGACTTATTCTCTTAACATCTAACACATATATAAGGCTCCATAGGGATTTTTTGTTGGTTTTTTTAATCCTGGAAATTAAGTATGTGTGTGTATAAATATATATATATATAAAAATATATATATTTTTTGCTGCTGTGTTAGCAGTCTTTGAAGAACAGTGGTTTTAAATTTGCTTTGACTTTAAGGGGATGAGTGTAATGATGTGACAAGTGACCAGAAAGAGAGATTCTTGGAATAGGGTGCCAGGTTAATTAGGGCTTAAAAGTAGATGGCACAAAGAAGAAGAGAGTCTGTGAGTAGCTCCAAGACACTGCCGATGTGTGTTCATGCATTATTGTTCCCAAACGAGTCATTGCTCCAAACGCAGCGTATTGGGAAGCACAGGGATGAGACGCTCAGCAGGCGGCACTGGAGCCAGTTTGGGTTGAGTTTATTTATTAATTCTTTCTTTGTGCCAGATCTAGGCTGGCTTCAGCCAGAGCTGCTTGGTTTTCTCTGTTCCAGGCTTGTCAGTGCTTCCAGTAAAGTGAGTGTTATCCGTGGAGACTGAGTTGCCTTTGTCTGAAGCCAGCTTAGGTCTGATGTCTTACCAGCTCCGGGTCTCTGCCATGTGAAAGCAGCTAGATTGTTTCCAGGCATAAATTGTCTCTGGAAGCTGTGTAGGTGTGTTTATGTAGTTCTGCACCTGAGCTAATAAGCCCAACTGGATTATAGGAGGTATTTCTTTCGTGGAGCCAGCACAGTGCTTGCGTCTTGTCATGGTTAATGAGAAATTTGCTAGAAATATATATAAATCATAAAACCATAGAATGGCCTAAGCTGGAAGGGACTTTAGAGATCATTTAATCCAGCCTCCCTGCCACCAGGGATGCCACCTCTCGACTAGATCAGGCAACACATGGGGACCGAGCAGGAATCGAACCCGCAACCTTGGCGTTGTTAGTGCCACACTCTACTGATTGAGCTAACCGGCCCCCTAAATAATTGGGAATTGATGGTATCTGACCACTACTCTCTAGATAATCTGGTGTTTAACGCATGTTTAGGCCCTGCTATACACTGAAGTTACCAGTCTGATCAAACCATAATCACCTACATTTAGATCATTTGTAACCAATGTTGTATTACAGCTGTAAATTGATTAGTTGTGGTTTTCCTTTCTTGCTAACTGGATAACACATTTCAGCTTCACTGGTGCTTGGTTAGATCTCCTCTAGCTGCTTCGTCTGCTTCCTTGCTGTTGAGGGAAAATGAGAACAAACGGGAGGCATTGGTATAATGACTTTTGTGTGTATGTGGAAGGTATCGCCAGTGTGCTTCCCTGTCTAAGAAATAATTGGTTAAATAAATGGGGACTGTGCCGTTTGGCTGCAGCCGTACATCCCAAGGCACAGTGCAGAAATGGAAAAAAGGTGTGGAGAAAACCAGCAGGTGTCAAGGCATTGTCTGCATCATCAAAGGTGTCAGGGGATAGTTACAGAAAGCACTGAGGCAATAAGTGGTTGTTTTCTGGAGCTTTTTAGTTTCTTGAAGATGAACCTTTAAAATTACAGGATTTTTTTTATTAGGAGTCTGATGAGCAGCCACCCTGTCAAAAAAGTGTAGGTGGATGCACGTATTCCTTTGCTGACAAAAGGCTGAATGAGATGGACTAGACAGAAGATTACATCATCAAAGGAGTTACTGTGGCATTCACTAAAGATGTTCTTGGTTTGAGGAGAAGTAGCATCCAAGGATCATTCCTGTGAGAATGATTAGTAAGTGGATTCTCTGGGAGAAAATTGCAGATCTGGATGAAGATGACAAGTCAGAGACAGTCTCACTGTTTCTTCTCACTATTTCCGTTTCTTCTTTCTGTGCTCAACCTTTTTTGGCTTATGACTTCATGCAGTAGATATTTCAGGAAAATAGTGAGGAGAAACTGCTGATATTGCTGAATTGTCATGTGACTCAATGTCAGTCTCTTTAGAAAAGTATATATGGCAGAAACCTGTCATATGCATCGCTCTTTATTGGTTTTTTACTTGGTTGTGATGATGTAAGATGATGACAGTTCCTTCGTAGTATCTCTATTTTGAGTATTTCCAATCTTAATATTTCTTTAGGTTGTGGAGAGCACCTTGTCCGAACTATACTGGCCAGAGAATGTTCATGTGCTTTGCAAACGGAAGATGCCCACCAAGCTCTCTTAGAGACTATGCAAAATAAGTTTATTGGTAAGTATGTGGTGCTAATTGCCTAAACATAGTGTAATATTGTTTAAAATGCAATTAACCCTATTAAATAAAATTAAGATACTTGTTTTTGTGATCTCTGTAGAAGCCTTATGTTGCAGTTGGCTTCAGACTACAGAGGAATATTTTAGGAAATCTAAAGGAAAACTCTTGGAAATATCTCAATTGTTATGTGAGTCATAGAATACCCAGAGAGGTTTGAAGAAAGAATTTCCTGCCTGAATCACAGGCTGTGGTGTACAATTGCATATTTCAGAATTGGTGGTTTAGGAGCATTAATAAAAATTATTCATCATGTTAACCCTTTTAAATACAGTAGACCTCAAAACCACTACATGCTCTAATGCTTTGGACAGACAGATTATGGTTTGCTATTTACATGATGATATTAATTTCATGAAAAAAATGAAGTAGACTTCCTTCAAGACTATTTTAAGGTAAAAGCAATTTTTTTCCTTGATTTGAGAGAATTGCACAACTACCTATACATGTTTTATTTCATGTGAACGTAGATCTTGTTTTCTTTCTTCAAGTTGTAACCAAAATATGAATGTGGAATTTTAAAGTGTCCATATAAACTTGAATTTTTGAGGATACCATAGATGCAGGTGAGGCTTCTGGCATGTATGCTGACCTGCATTGTCTTTATAGTCCTTACAATTTTTGAAGCTTTAGAATCCACAGTTTTGACCTTCAAAATTTCTTGTGGACAACATAACACTTCTTGTACGCTGTGTTGCTAATTTTTATGGTATTTTAATCAGAACTGGAAGAGAGACATTGTGTAACTTTTTGGGACCCAGGAACCGTTGCCCTTGGTCTTGGCAAGCATGGCATTGCAATTTCTTTATTTTTGCTTAAAATGGTAAATCTATATTAAACTCTACTTCTGACAGTATTACATTTGACTGTTTGAGGGGAAGTTGGAAGGCTACACTTGGTAATCTACTGTCATGCGGTCGTTTGTAGGTGCTGTAAGAATGTCAGACAAAGTAATCCTGGGATGTTCCCCAAGGAGATTATAATCCAAGCAGCACAAGTGTAACTTTTTGTATTTAATGTTTTATTCCAGCGTATAGTGGTATAAAATTAGGGATTTATTTACCAAGAGAAGCCTTTACAAAAGATGCTTTTGATAGCGTCGCTAATTTTTAACACTGCTCTGAAGGTGTTGTGTGGAAATAGCCTAACTTCAGCAAAGTCAGATCTCTGTTCCGTATTCTCAAAATTTATTATGCTGCTTGTGGTAGGAGTACTAAAAGCAAGCATAAATTTTGCATATCCGTAAGCAATTTGGAGTTAGTGCATGCACGCTTTATAAAATAGAAAGCTACTGCCAAGGTAATTAGAAACTGGCAGATGAAAGACCAAAAAATTCAGGAATTTTTTGGCAGAGGTACCTCCTTTAAGTTGCTGTGAGTTTTCTGGGGTTTGTTAGCCAAAAGGCAATTCTTCTCTTAGTGTTTAGTGCAATAGTGTTTTGTCACCAGTTTGCATAGCGAATGTTTTTATTTTAAATGTTAACTGGCTAGTATGTGATAGTATACAGTGTGTTCTTTACTGAAAATGTGTTTGTATTGAGCTTAAGAACTTATTGAATGTTGCTAAAGTTTTTGTTATACCTGAAACTATCAGTTGTAGAGAAGGAGCAGCTGTGCAGACAGACACCAGGCTAACACTGTGATGTCATATTGCCTTGAGAAAACAGATTAAAACCAACAAATCAAGACAAAGTGAGAAGATGGCATCAAATCAATGCTTTTCTTGATAGGAATTTAATTTTTTTTAAAAAGTTGTTTTATAATTCCTTTTTAAAGTTTCATGTTTTAATTAGGGATAGGTCTGTCTTGTATTTTCAGAAACTTATCACTGCAAATTTTTCTTGCCTGACAGCAAATATGTGTATCATCTTCTCAGCTGTAATTTGGGGTAGTGCTGGCATGGCAGGGCGAAGAAAGAGCCACTTTTTTGTGTGTCACTAAAATGCTTGGATTCAGCGTTTTGATTAGAAAGAAATATAGTTTGCCCTCAGGTATACTGTGGATGAAGACTGAGGAAAACCTCATAAATCCAGATATATCTTGCTGTTTACGTGTGACATAGAGCTAAGTTTGTAGCCAGTAGTGTACCTGGTGGAACGCAAAGTTATATCTTGCTAATATGGTGCAATAGTTGGAAACATGCATTACAGCTAAAATAATTGCCCTATACTAAATAATGGATTTTTTTCCTGTGTATTTTCATAGATGATGTGCTAGCTGATATCCCAGGACGTATGGTATGATTCAGGATTTCAAACTGTTGTGAAACAGTAGGGCAAAAGGGGCTAATAGCCTGATGGCATGGATTCCAGATTCTTTACCTAGCCCTTCTTAAAGCCCAGTTTTGTCATCTTGTCAGACTTTTGCCAGAATTATAGTGGACCAAGGCCAACCAAAAAAAAACCAAAATCTTTAACAAAGCAGAGCTAGAATGTTTTGTCAGAAGTCAAAACGTGCGTTACTTGTGTTGGAGGGGTGAGCAGCTGATTTTGGCAGTTGCTATCAGATTGGTGCTTCCTGTTTAGAGAGTCTCCGCAGAGCCCTGGGAGTCCTTCCAGCTAGGGAATGCCTGGCTTCAACAGTGAGTGCAGTTTAAACAGCAGGTGATGAGCAAACTGATGGCAGATGTGCTTCTCTCATCCTTTCTCAGAGCCAGCTTACTATGGAGAGTGCACAAGTGATGGTTGAATTGGGAGGTGGGAGAAATGAAATTTTCAATTTTTTTTTTTTATAAATCAAATGGGCTTGATACCTGTACTCGAGGAGCGCTAAGGGCTTGGTATGCAGTCGAAGAATGGTGTTCTGTAAACACAAATACCTTCCAACAGAAGAACAGAGGATTTTGTTAGTCATCGGTCCTTTCAAACGCGGCCAAGTTTTTGGAATGTAGACTTAGAGTAAATGTTTGTGTCATCTCACTGGCGGGAAATTTGGGCTTTTAGCAATGGCAGTGTTACAAATCGTACTTTAAAGCTTCTTATAATGTATTAGAAAATAATGAGCTGAAATACGTAATTGGAATCTGATATTTGTTCTTTCCTTAGCGGAAATATGTTTGTCTCTTCTTTTGTTTTTAAGTTGTGTTTCAATTCACAAATGAGCACTGTCTGCAGAGAGGTAATGCCAGAGGGATAGTGCTTACACTTTCTCTTTTAGAAAAGTTGTGTCAAATACCTCTCTTGGGAACAGGAATTTGGACATTTGGAATTATAGAATACAAATTTACTGATTATGAGTTATGCTTGTTGCTAGATAAAAGCCTCATACTTAAACGGCCGGTGACTGTCATTGCACATTGTTATTGTTACTTTAGATTTTGGTGCTGCATCCATCTAAGCTTTGTAGTATCCTTCATGATTTTATAGCAATCACGGTACAGAGGCATTATCTCTTCTCCATGACACAGAAGGAGAGATTTAGTGAAAGAAAGAGGTGATCCTGAAGTTTCGTATAACCTGTTTTATCCACTGTAAGTTTATGATTTCACAAGTTTGTTTTGATACTAGACAGAATTGAATAGGCCTCTTCTTTATCTGTACAAGAAAAGCAGATGAAAAACTAGCACTCTAGGTCCTGCCTGTGCTTCTCCTTGCCAAAAGCACTGGGATTTCATTGGACAGCAGTGTCCTCAGTTATTTAATTTCTTTCAAACTTTACAGGTTAAGATTTTAAGTACGGGTGCTTTTCCTTGCAGCTTCTTAAAAAATTTTAAGCAGATGTTTTAACTTACTTATCGTGAAATATAACAATCTCTGACTTAGGACAGCTTGCACCTAAATATTTAGCAGATAATGATGCATGAAATTAAAATCAGGATTCACTATATTCCTTTAATATTTATTTAAATTGTTAGCTTGAGTTTCAGTGGGATGCATAGCAGAAGCAGAGTGGCAAACAGCTTCCTTTTAAACAGATTCTATCCACGAGCTTACAGTGTCCAGTGGTGTCCGTGATCTATAGATTTTTGACCTGAAAAAGTCTGAATTTGACTCATGTTGCAGCACATGAAGGTTTAGAACTGTTTAGTAGCACTCTGTTAAACCTGGGGGACGCTAAGGCGCTTAATTCGTTACACCCCGCCACGGTCAGTGTTTAGACCAAAATTCTGAAGACTTTGAAAGCTGATGTAAGCAATGAAGCTGGTAACAGGTTCTCTACTGTGGAAGAGGATGAATGTAAAACATCTGATGAACAGCTGGTTGGTCCTTCAGCTGGGGAAGTGTAAATAAAACACTTCTTCTGCAGTTTAGTATTGAATCTGTGCTAGAGTGGTTCTGCCCAGTAGCTACAAATGGGTAAAAAGCACGGCATCAGAAATGGACAACTTGTACGGAACAGATATTCTGGAGGAAGCAATCTTCATCTCAGGAGCAGTTAAATTCACAGGAGATATGAAAGAAAAAAAAAAAAAAGTTCTTCACTTGTAGCTGTAGTTCCTCCAGATCAAGGCTCAATGTTGAGGTCATTTTTTGCCTTGACGCTTGCGAAACCTGTGTGCTCTGTCCCCTGTCTGAGGCTGAACCTGCATCCGGGTGTTCAGTGACGGTTGCTCTTGCAGAACTTGATGGGATCAGTGAATGTGGAGTTGCTACGAAGACCTGCTTGCTTCTGTGTAAGAGACTGTTACTGCAAATCAGTAACACACAAAATACACAGATGAAAACTTGATAATGCATTCTGTATGGCAGATAGCAAAAACGGAGTAATTGAGCTTTGAAGGACGGAAGCGTGTTTTTTAAAACATGATTTTGTAACTGGGGGTGGTGTGGATTATACCAAAGCTATTGAAAGATGGGTTTTGTTTGTTTTTTCCCGTACCCCTTCTCTCTGGTGTGGCCAGTAAGTGCTGTAGTTGAAGTTTTGCTTTGGATTTTTCATGCCAAATTCTTCAGGCCTATGCCAGTGTAACTGGGGAAG